GGTTTGGGACACTCGCGAATACGGGTTTTGGGAGGAGGAGATCGGGGAGTGGGTATGGACGTGCGGCACGAAGTCAGGATGCAACGGGGGGGTGGTGGAAGATGAGTTGGTGGAATCGGGAAAGGGAGGATGAGAGAGGGAGGGATTTGACTTAGGATAGTATTAGTTGCAATGTTATAAATATACATTGATACACAATTTGGTTCGAGTGATATCATGTGTTGGAGTTAAACATCTGGGTGTCAGCCGCGCCGTGACACTCTCGGACTCCGCCCCACCACCGCGCTCTCGACACTCATTCACCCAATTCACTCGATCTTACTCCGAAAAGCAATGTGCAACACCCTCCCTCACCGGTCCACTTATGATCGCATCTTGACTGTCTCACAGCTCCTCCGCGCCGACCGAGCCCTTCCTCCGCCGAACCTCCGAGTAACTCTACCTGAGCTTGAGCTTCCACACCACAATGCCAGCCTCTTGTAACGATATCCGTACGAAATACGCTCCCGCATTGGATATATAGACTGGACCCTAACTTCCCCAGGCGCGGCGCTGGCCGAATGTCTCCAAAACTCCGACTGCGTGATGGTACAGCGCAACTCGGCCGCCGACTGCCTCCGGCCGCCGCTGAACAAGGAGCTGCCGACCAGGTGCCAGCAGCTGCGGAAGGGGTTCGCGGAGTGCAAGTATGTGTGTTAGAGGGTCGTGAGGGAGAGGGGGCTGATATGGGTACAGGAGAGGTCTTGTTGATATGCGTAAACGCTTCCGAGGGAACCATCCGGTTGCGCTGAGTGCAGAGAAGGAGGGAGGGACGGGGAAGGGACAGTTGTATGGGGGGAAGTCGGCGTATGGCGTGGCGGAGACGGATGGGAGGGAGGAGGAGCGGAATCCGTCGCAGGAATAGGTTTGTGGGAGAGGCAATGGGGATTGTGTAAGATATCTATTGTGTATGATATGGAATGTGCATGGATTGACCACGAAGCTCCACTCTTGGTGCGCATTGCAGCCCACTATCCATGATGCAGAGCTCGACGACCACCAGCAATCTCCAGAACCTTGTTGACCAGGCACGGAACCTGATTCTCTCCAATACAGGTAGGTACTGATGACTCCTTCTGTACCGTATTCAGCTGACACTTCCAGACGACCTCCGTCCTTGCGGTGCTCCAGCTCTCGCCCTCCTGCCCCATCGTCCTCTCCCAGTCCTCAAGCTCGCCCACACAAAGCTTCACGCATATCCATGGACGGCCGTCCCCTACCACTGGCGATGCCTCTACACGGACGCAGCGATCCTCCACGCTCTCTCCCTCATCGGTGAAGGCGACACGCTCCCAGAAGCAATCAAACACCTCGACCACGCCATCATCATTGCCGGCGCACCCCGACGACTCTCACTAATCCACCGACTCCTCTCCTCTCTCCCCTCTCCCCCTCTTCCGGACTCTCTCTCAGCCCTCACCACCTGGCCCCCTCAACCCCACAAACCCGGCACCCCCGGTGAACCAACCCTCCGCTTCCCCATCCCCCGCCTCCAGCTTCCTCCAACCTCCATCACCCCCTCCCACCTCACCCGCCCCGTAATCCTCACCAACCTCCTCGCCTCCTGGCCCGCACTCACAAACTGGTCCAACCCATCCTACATCCTCCGCCACACGCACTCCGGTCTCCGGCACGTCCCCATCGAACTTGGCCGCGCCTACACCGACGCCGGCTGGGGCCAACGCATCCTCCCTCTCCGGGAGTTCCTGGAACTCTACATCCTCTCCTCCCACTCCGGCCGCGAGATCGCATACCTCGCGCAACACGACTTGCTACTGCAGCTGCCGGAGTTGTCCGAGGATATTGCGTTGCCGGGGTTTATCACTGATGCTGGGAGGCCCGTGGCGGTGAATGTGTGGTTTGGCCCTGAGGGGACCGTGTCCCCGCTGCATACCGACCCGAGGGATAACGTGTTTGCGCAGGTGGTGGGAAGGAAGTATGTGAGATTGTATCCGCCTGGGGCCGATGTGTTGCCGCGGGGGGTGGAGGCTGGGGGGGTGGATATGGGGAATACGAGTAGGGTGGAGGTGGAGGCTGTGGATGGTGGGGAGGAGCTGGGGGAGGAGGAGAGGAGGAGATGGGCGGAGGGAGCGGGGAGGGAGGGGTGGGTTGAGGCCGTGGTGGAGGCGGGGGAGTGTTTGGTGATTCCGAAGGGGTGGTGGCATTATGTGAGGAGTTTGGAGACGAGTTGGAGTGTGAGTTTCTGGTGGGGGTGATGGTGACGTGGTATCAATGTGTACCGTCTAACTCCATTATATCTTACAAGCCCGTACATAGACTACATGTTCCTAAAACTTCATCTTTGACCTTTCATGCGCCTTCTTCAACTCATCCTCGAGCTCCATCATCTCCTCGATATCCTCCTCCGCCGTCTTCTTCGCCTCCTTCCACTTGGTCCCTTTGGTCCACAAATCCGACTCCATCTCCTCCCTGGATCGCCACCTATTCTTCTCCTCCCTCGCCTGATTCTCCAAATCCAGCTCCTCCCTCGTCTTCCGAATCTGATTCTCCAGCAACAAGCGATCCCTCTTCCGCTTCCCCCGATTCGCCTTCTTCCCGCCGGGTCGATCAAGCTCGACAATCGTCTCGGTCGCCTTGCCCTGCGTCAAGTCTGCAGTGCGGATAATCTTGGTCTGGGGCGGCCGTTTCTTATCGCCTAGGTGGAGGTTGCGCGGCATTTTCGTTTTCGCCGACAACGCCCACAGATCGCCCCATTGCGATTTCCGCGCGTCGTGGTATGCGATTTTGCTGAATGACTTTGGAACCACCCACCGCTCGATTGTTGCCTCGGGAGTGCACACATCGAGGATAACGTGCTTGTGGCGTTTCAGCGGCGGGAAGACGAGGCGGGGGAGAGTGTGTGCGTGCGCGCGAAGGGTTTCGATAGAGTGTTGGGTGTGCGCAATGGACGGATGGCCTTTGTGGAGATCGAAGTCCTCGGGCTGGGGGGTTTTCTCGGGATCGTTGGTGCGGAGAGGGATACCCCGGCGGAAGGAGACGAAGGAGTAGCGGAGGTCGTCGTGGTTGGATTTGGACGCGCCGATGATGCGTTGGAGGTATGGAGGACGTTGGTAGCGCTGAGAGAAATGGCAATAGTCTTTGCGGTTTCCAACCGCGTTGCCATGAGTGTACATGGGACATTGGGAGTGGTTGGTACACGGCGCGATGATGTGCCCGGGGGTTTCCGGGGCGGGTTTGGAGGGGTCGTTGAGAGGGGAGGGGAGGAAGTGTTCGAGGAGATAGGACCGCGCGTGCGCGATGGTTTCGAAGCCGGCGGGTGTGCCTTTTTCGATGAGGACGAGGACACCGCCGTTGGGATTGAGGAGAGACCAGAGAGATTCGAGGACGGGTTTGCGGGATTTCTCAAAGGGGATGGGGAGAAGAGTGTTGGTGCTGATGATAAGGTCATATAATTTCCGCGGCTGCTTGATGTTGTATTCACCCTCTTGAACAGCGTCGGGGAGTCGAGGGATGAATTGGGTGTTGTCGAGGAATTTGGACATGCGGAAACGAAGGGAGTCGGACGATGTTACCACCGTCGCTTTGATACCAGCTGGGGCAGCAACTTCTTCAGTTGTGGGAGGAACATCGATCTTAGGGATCCCGGTGCTCGCAGTTTCTTCGTCATCTCTGAGGGCTTGTTGGGCGCGGATAACATCCCGCCAGGCCAGGACGGCCGCTCCGCCAGTACCCAACTCGAGCACATTCTTGACACCAGCTTCATCACCTCCACCGAGAACCCAATCACCGCCGAGTCGTCGCCGGATCTCGGTGAGGGCTGACAAACTTTGGGCATAGTAACCGGGCGTAAGAGCTGCAAGAAAAGCATTCGCTTGCATCTCGGACATGAAGGAGTCGTGAGGAGAAAGCGGGATGCTGTTTCCTACTTTGGCGCTTTTCCGGCTCATGATTGGTGAATGGACAAGGCCAGCGCCCAAATTCTTGTGGCAGCTGTTGTTAAGATGGGTGTTGGACACATCAGCCAACAATGCCTCCGTCGGCCGCCGAATGTATTCTGGGGCCGGGATGGTGAAGGGTTTTGTCGGGAATTGTCCGATTTTGGTAAGGGGATGCACCCGCTCCCATTCCGGTCCTTGGTCCGGCTCTTCTTCCTCTACGAAATCCTCATTGTTCTGTAATGCTTGGTTTATATCCTCTTGAATCATTTGGAGCGCCCTGGCCTCCTCTTCCGTCTCCGCCGTGATTCTATAACCGTCTGGCCCTTCCCCATCAACTACTTCTTCAGCCGTCACCTCAATCACTTCATCAGCGCCCTCCTCTTCCTCGGACTTCCGCCCTTTAGATTCCACCCGTGACGGTCCGACGATTATAGCGTCTGGCTCCAACGAGTCCTCAATCTCCTGCGCCGTCAATCGGGCCTCCTCTACTAACTCGGCAATGTCCTCCTCACTCAGCAGTCTCGTTGGTGCGCCGTAGTTCCGTTCGTAGATTACATACTCTGCCTCCGAGAGAAGATTCTCGGGGAGGTTGTCTCCCCATCTGTTGCGGATGTGGCGGACATAATCTTCAGTGTTGCGCGCAGGCTCAATGGGAATGACTTCGGAGGTGTTCCGGACGACGGAGGAGGTGGTGAGTGCGCGGAGAGAGGTGGAATATCGAGGGAGGGGGTTCCGGCGGAGGAGATACCGGGATTGGCGAAGGAGGAGGAGGGTGGGAGGGAGCATCGGGGGAGGAGAAGGTGGAGGGTGGAGGAGGATGGAGAGTGGCGGGGTCGTGGAGCAACCTTGGAGGGGCAGACGCGACCGGAAAAATATTGGTATGGGAATTGTCACTCGGTCACGTGGGGAAGAAAACTGCTGTTTGACAAGGCCTGGGTGCTCATGAGCAGATATTAAGAATTAGAATAGTTGATCCTGCTAGCGCTTTCTGTAGCAGTGAAGTGTTGAGTGGCTCATAAAGCGTACTCATAAGCAGCCAGTTTCTATGGTCCACCAACATCCGGTCGTATAGTGTAGTGGTCAAGCACATGAGATTTTGACGCATTAGTATCATCTTCCCGGAGCCTGGGTTCAAACCCCAGTAGGACCTTTTGCCAGTAGCGGGAGGCACAATCACTGTGGAAGGTGTCCCGCTGGTAGCAAGTATGCTCGCTGTCACTCGAAGCAGTATCACATTCTATCACCCGGGTCAGGTGCTCGTCTACACCTTGCTCACATAAGCGTGCATGCCCCGCGCTAGCGTTCGCGCGCATGTCGAAAAAAGTTCCTGGGCCTCATTGCGCTTCGTCGAGTGAGCTGCGATTCTCAACTCCCAACTTCTCGCCCAATCCGCCACCATGGAACAGCAGTCAAACCGGTCGCACCGGCCTTCCAAAGAAAAGAAGAAATTCACTGGTACACTATCCGTCATCATTCTCCACAGCACTCCCTTCATACTCGTCCAGTCTTTCAGTACCTCCGGACAGCCAGCTAACCTCAACACCCAGGCCAAAATCCCAAAGCCTTCTCCTTCGCCAATCCCGGCCGCCTCCAACGCACCGCCGCGCGCTCTCACGATGTCAAAGAAAAGCGTCTCCATGTCCCTATGGTGGACCGCCTCCCCGAGGAAGCTCCTCCCGTCATTGTCGCTGTCGTCGGTCCTCCCGGCGTAGGAAAAACCACCCTCATCAAGTCGCTTGTGAAGCGCTACTCCAAACACACCCTCACAACAATCCAAGGCCCCATCACAGTTGTTTCTGGAAAGCGGAGACGTCTCACGTTCCTCGAATGCGACAACTCTCTTGCATCCATGATCGATGTTGCGAAGATTGCCGATTACGTCCTACTTCTTATTGATGGCAACTTTGGTTTTGAGATGGAGACCATGGAGTTTTTGAACGTGCTTGCGCCGCACGGAATGCCGAGTAACATTTTTGGAATCTTGACGCATCTGGATCTGTTCAAATCACAGAGTATCCTCCGGGCTACCAAGAAGCGACTGAAGCACAGATTCTGGTCGGAGCTCTATAATGGTGCCAAACTATTCTACCTCTCCGGCGTTATCAACGGACGATATCCCGACCGCGAAATCCACAATTTGTCGCGATTCATCTCGGTTATGAAGAATCCAAGACCAATCATCTGGCGCAATTCGCATTTCTACATGTTGGCGGACCGCATGGTGGACTTGACAGATCCCGTCAAGATGGAGGAGGACGCCAAGTGTGATAGGACTGTTGCTTTGTATGGATACGCGCGCGGATTGAACTTTCCGGCTGAAGGAGGGAGGGTACATGTTCCGGGAGTGGGGGATATGGCCGTGCAGAGCGTGGAGGCGTTGCCGGATCCATGTCCAACGCCATACAGAACACAAGCGGAAGGGAAGGGGAGGAAGAGGCTAGGAGAGAAGCAAAAGTTACTCTTTGCCCCAATGAGTGACGTCGGTGGTGTGTTGGTCGACAAGGATGCGGTATACATCAATGTCCCGAGTCAAAGTTTTGCTGAAGGCCAGGAGTTGGGCGAGGGTGAGAGGCTTGTCGTGGAGCTCCAGAAAGGAAAGAAGGCGGCCGAAGGGAAAGGAGTGCAGTTGTTCTCAAACGGAGAGATGCTTCAAACTGTACATGATGAAGATGATCGGGACAACGGGGATCGAGGACGAACAAAACCTCGAACTGCAAGAGTAGCTGATTCATCTCGGAAACCTCTCGAGGACGACTTTGAGGATGATGGCGAAGACGAAGAGAACGAGGAATATGAGTCTGGTGAGGAGGATGAGGACGACGCATCTGCCACCAAGAAAAAGTTGGGACGGGCTTTTGCCGATGACGACGAGGAAGCCGAAGATGGAGATCTTGCATTTGCCGACAGCGATTCCGACCTTGGATCACTTTCTGACCGCTCAGACATTGAGCTTGACGACGAGGATGATGAGGATGTCCCCCAGTGGAAGCAAAATCTCACCGAGAATGCGCGCAAACTATGGACAGAGACTCGGAATGGTCGTGGCCGGATATCAGACCTCGGAAGACTCATTTACGACGACAACCTCACCCCTACAGAAGTAATCGACAAATGGCGAGGAAATTCGAACTCAAAGTCCAACAACGAGTCAGATGACGAAAGTGACGAGGAAGACTTCTTTAAGAAAGTAGAGAATGAGGATGAGGATGAGGATGAAGAGAGTGCAAGTTTGAAGAAGATTTCAGACCGTACTCTTCCTGTCTACGATCTCGCTGCTCTGGAAAAGAAGTATTTAGATGAAGAAGCCCTCGAAGCCCTACGGAAGCGTTTCATCACTGCAAACCTGCTTGCTGAGAAGGAAGCAGCTGAGAAGGCTGAAGAAGATGGCGAGTTTACTGGGTTTGAAGATGTTGAAATGGGGGATGATGACGATGAGGGTGACGGAGAGTTCGAGGATCTCGAGACAGGTGAAAAGGTTGGAGGGGACGAAGACGGTTCCGAATCTGACGGCGACGATGACGCTGGATCCGATGCTGGCGATGACGACGATGTCCCTGATTCCATTGAAGCCGAGCGAGAGAAAAATGCCCGTCGTAAAGAAGAACTCCGTCTCCGTTTCGAAGAAGAAGACCGTGATGGAGACGCAAATGGCGAGGGATCTGAGACGGAGAAATTTGGCGAAGATGACTGGTACGACGCACAGAAAGCCGCGATTGCAAAACAGTTGGCCGTCAACAATGCTGAGTTTTCTGCTCTCGACGATAACCAACGAGCCCGGGTTCAGGGACATCCAGCCGGTGCATACCTCCGTGTTGTCCTGTCCTCCATGCCGTGCGAATTCGTCACCCACTTCGATCCTCGATACCCCATCATTCTTGGTGGCCTCACGCCTACCGAAGAACGTTTCGGATTCCTCCAAGTCCGCATCAAGCGCCACCGCTGGCACAAGCGTATCCTCAAGACCAACGACCCGCTCATCTTCTCCCTCGGATGGCGCCGCTTCCAGAGTATCCCCATTTACAGCACATCAGATTCCCGGACGAGAAACCGAATGCTGAAATACACACCCGAGCACATGCACTGTTTCGGTACCTTCTACGGACCGCTCATCGCCCCCAATACTGGTTTCTGTGCTGTGCAGACACTCAACTCCACCCAACCTGGATTTCGCGTAGCGGCCACCGGTGTTGTTCTCTCAGTCGACGCATCCACGGAAATCGTCAAGAAACTCAAACTCACCGGGCACCCTTACAAGATCTTCAAAAACACCGCCTTCATCAAAGACATGTTCACCTCGTCCCTCGAAATCGCGAAATTCGAGGGCGCCGCAATCCGCACTGTCTCCGGAATCCGTGGCCAAATCAAAAAGGCTCTTTCCAAACCTGAAGGCCATTTCCGTGCTACCTTTGAAGACAAGATCTTAATGTCCGACATTATTTTCCTCCGTGCATGGTACCCGATTAAACCGAGGAAGTTTTATAACCCCGTTACAAACCTTCTCGAGTCGGCCTCGGGTGACGGTATCAAGGAGTGGCGTGGAATGAGACTCACTGGTGAAGTCCGCGCTTCCCTCAATATGCACGCTCCAAACATTGCGGACTCGACCTATAAACCCATTGTCCGCCAGGAGCGGCGGTTCAACCCTCTCCGAGTCCCGAAGGCGATCCAGAAAGATCTCCCCTTCCGAAGCCAGATTGTGCAGATGAAGGCCGCGAAACCCGGGAAGCAGAGCTACATGGAGAAGCGGGCGGTGGTGGCGAGTAAGGAAGAACGTGCGGCGAGAGATTTGTTGCAGAAAGTCAAGACGCTGCAGAAGGAGAAGGAGGAGAAGAGGAGGAAGAAGAAGCAGGAGGCTAATGAGAAGCATAGAGCGGTCGTGGAGAAGGGGCTGGAAATGAAGAGGGATAGGGAGAAGAGGGAGACGCAGGAGTTTTGGAGGAAGGAGGGGAGGAAGAGAGGTGCTAGTGAGGGTGGAGGAGGGAGGGGGAAGAGGGCGAAGAATGATTAGGTAATGCGTTATGGTTGCTTTTTTGGTAATATATCTTGTCTTTGAGATAATGAAGACCCGTGAATGGGAAAGTTTATCCAATGTAGTAGATATCCTCTGTTGGCATATGAGCCACCCCGACGCTGGCAGAAAATACAACGAGAGACGAGGCCTATTACACCAGGGCCATCAGGCGTTTATTTGAGGGGTGCAGTAGAAGACTGGGCTCCAGTCGCATCCTGGGGTACATTCATACCATATCACTTCTTCCACTTGAATCGGAAGTGTGCTTCGTGCAAGAGACCTCAAACTCCCCCACAAACGGAGTTCCGAATGGACTTGATGAACGTCTAAACATTGAGTATCACCAGGCTCGCCACTCTGATGGGTATCGAGGAGTAATTTTTTGTCCCATGCCAGTGCTAACTTCTATATAGCCAGGTTTTTTTTAGCTAGCTATATGACCAATATATTGTGGATACAGCTATACGTCCAAGTACTGGAGTATCTTGAACCCTATGTACTGTACGTAAGAGCCAGCTGAGGATCTCTCGCAGGATAGGATCACATATGGGTTGATAAAAAGAGTTGAATCTGGTATCCGCGCTCTGCATACTCAAGACGTTTTGGTTGGACCACAAGGAGAGGTTAATTTTTTTGACTTTGATCGCGCTGAGATTGTGCCTAACCACCGGTACTTCAAGGTTGAAGAGAATGTTATCTTGAGACAACTGTGTGCACAGAGATTGGGGGCGTTGAAGGATTCTCGGGCTTGATCACTTTGCGATGTTTGTTTTCGGCGTATGTTGTTTTACTTTGAGACATGGGAGTTATCGTCTTTCTTGTGCTTTTTTTTAAAGCAGAAATTGGTATAATAAATGGCTACAACCAAGTGGAATAAAACGTTCGTTGGTTTGATTGATCGGAAGTGATACAAACAGGAAGAAAATTTCTAGATTTCCGGAATCATTCTTGCTCCGCCACTCCTTCCACACTTTGCCCGAAGTGGTATGTATCGCGATCAAGACCAAATCTTCCAACACCTTTTTAAGGGCGATAGTATACACTTCCCAATCTTTTAAACGCTTTGCATATTCAATGACATTCACTAGTTCAGTCGGCAAGCAAGGCAAATGTCCCGGGTTATTGCATCTTTTCTGGAC